AAGAAGAAGAGGAAATTAAAGCGTCTGAAGCAAATGGAAATAAATAAAATGGTGTTCCTAATTTTGTGTACCAATGAAGGGAGCACAACGGTTGTGTTTTCGTGAGATATGATGCAACTACCCAAGATACTGCACCTTCTACAGTAACCTCGCCCCCTTGAGAGCTCAAATCCATATTCCAGCTGACAATGGATGTCTAGGTAGGAGAGGTTATTGCAATTCTTTCGTCGTGAAAACGAAAAAGTGATATCAGCTCAAGCCGGTATGAGCTTTTTAACTAAATCTAGTGGATTTATCCAGCCGAATACCACATGATAATACCTTTTTCGGCCTTTGGATTCAGGCAAGTAAGACATGAAGAAAGAACTGGCATTGACGCAGGCAGAGGCATCGACATAGAGATCTGTAGCATTTACCAGCTTTTCACAGCTTATGAAAACAATTTCCTCGGAAATCTCTTGATCTTTGTAATAACTGGAAATGGTTTTATAATTCAGTTTCCGTAGGGAAGTACTTAATTAGAGGCATCCAAGGAATAATGAGGTATAGAGGAGCAGCAACCTTTCTGAATCCCGAGATCTACCACTCGGATTCTTATATTATCATAATCAATGGCTTGAACGTAGAATTTTGCTGATCCTAAATACAATACCGTATGGTTGTTCTCACAAGATAAGCTACATGCTTGGAGCCCTGTACAATTATGATTATTGGTGTTAACCAGAAAGGGAAGCTAATGTTTGGAATATATATTGCTGCTCATTATCTTTTGCTCTGCTGCAGGTTACATGAATTAGGCCAAGAAGAAGAAGAAGTTGAAAGATGAGGCCTGGTCTAGCCAGGGCAAAGGTTGTCTTTCCTTTGAACATTCTTCTTCTTCTCCACATTATCTAATTGTATGGCTTAGTCACAAAATCAAATAAAAATAATAATTAATAAACTTATTATAAAATATCGATAAAAAATTATCATTGAAATAAGCATGAAAAATTTATTAACCTTAGAATGATTCACATCTCTATAAAGAGTAAATCGACCAATGCAATAGAGATATACATAACATGTTGCTTTTAAAATACTATAATTTTATAATAACACTTTATAAATCTACACCATCTATAAAGCCATTTAAGTCAAAATACTTTTTTTTTACCTAAAACTATTTAAAAGATAAAGTAAGCTAAATAAAAAAAAATGCAAAAAAATACACTTAATTGAATAAAGTGACGTATTTTATTTATAGAGCTTATAATTATATAACTTTCATTTATAAATTAATAATCAAAATAAATTAAATAATTATTATAAAATAATATATCGTTAAGTATAACAATTAATTTATAACAATTCGTTTTATCAAATTTTTAATAAAAAATAAATTTAATTTATAAAATATATTATTTTATTTTTATTAAAATATTTAATTTCTGACAAAGGTATACACCGGCAATTTTTGAGCTCTTAAAACAGGGACCCAGTCGAACAATTTTTGTGGTCTTCGAAAACAACTCAGATATGGAGTACTTCAACCTCCCGGTTCTTCCAATTGATAGGCTTTTGGAATTTTTTTTGTTGTGGAACCAATTCAGTTGAGACACTTGTTCCTAGATCTATCTATTGATGACTCATTGACCCAACATCCAAAATTAAGCACATGCGGCTTTAGCGGTCTCTGTGCAGGTGTATCTGGCAAATGTTTGAATTTTATTTATTGTAATAATGGTTAAATTTTCTTTTTTAAATTTTTTCATGTTAAAAAAAATCAAAAATTAAAAAAAATACATTAATGACCAAATAAAGATATAATTTTTATTTACTAATCAAGCTTACTAACTTTTAAAAGGTTTTTTTTGTTAAGGTTATGACTTTTGTGATTTTATTAATTAAAATTATTACATTTTAAACATTTTTAATTAAAAATATAATTGTGCATCTTCATTTAATCCATCTCTAATAAATTGTAAAGATAATATCCTTAATTACAAATTTTTAAAAGGTTACAACCTTGATTAGTAAGGAGTAAATAAAATGTCATTTCCATAATTTAGAGAAGTTTTGAAAAATTGCACCTTTATTTATTGATTATGTCTGACTTTTCTACAATGTTCAGTTGTAAATAATTTTCGGATTTACTTTAATATTAACTTAAAGAGCAACGCCTATTTAGAATTTTTGGCTGAATTGATTCATAACTTACACCTCATTGCTAATTTTTGCTGCATTAAGTGGGGGGGCAAGTAAGAACTAATTTGCTATGAATGCGAAGTTGAAAGGCTTATTTGCTTCTTTTATAAACTTAGAGATTATCCACAAATTCGAAGAAAATTGAGGGCTTAGAAATGGTTTTGCCTAGAAGAAATTAGTCCTAAGTTGCAGCTCACGTGAACGGAGTTAGATATTCTGTCTGCGTTGTTTGTCAGTAACTGGAAAAGACCACTGGGCACTAGGGAAGAAAGGTAAAGCAGAGCCTCATTCCTCTGTCGAATCCGACCAAAAAAACGTCCCTGTAGTCGTCGTTGCCCCTTCATTTTCAGCAGCCCGAGATGTGCACGGAAGAGGTAATCAATCAATCTTTTGCTTTCCCACTTTTCCCCCTAATCAAATTGCTGTCCAACGCTTCAATCATTCAAATCTGCCGACTCAATTTCATTCTTTATTATAAACAGGGCCTTTAACAACAACGCAAGGTACAAAGGATTCATCTTTCAGCTCCATTTTCCGTCTCCCATCTCTTCAACTTTCATGGGGACTACTCTTCTTCTTGGGTCCCCTGCTAAGCTTTCTCTGTTTCCATATGGTATTCTTTTTTCTTTTTTTTCTTTTTTTCAAAGCAATCAACTTTACTGCCTGCATTCCTTCTCCATTCCTGCATGATACTGTTTTTAGTGTTTTATTTTGTTTTTTTTCCTTCTTCTGATTTTAGTTAAATGTTGGGTCTGAGTAAATTTTAAATTTTTGTAAACGTGCTTAATCATAAATTCATATAAAATAATTATAAATTTTTTTTATATTGATTAAAATGTTCAAATTGCTTAACCCAGTTTTAGCTTCTTGCATTGGAGAAGATGTTTTCAGAAGCTAGGCCAAACAAGTATTAATACAAATCTTTAATCCGAATGATTTATTTAATCATTGTTTTCATTTCTTCCTTCTTTTTGTTGTTTCTCTTTTGGTTCTAGGAATTGTTTTCTGTGATATTTAAGCATTTTTGTATTACTTGGTCAAAAAGAAAATGGAAGTGCCAATGTTCTACCAGAGTTTTATTGTCTTGATTTAGAATGTATTTTATTTTAGAGGAGATATATATACACTAATTTGGAAGGATAAATAATTATAGATGTAGAGGGAGTAATATTTGTGATTTCCGGGTGATGGAAGCCTAAATGTGTATGTATATTTCACAGCATCCTAACTATAAATTCTTTTTATCAATTTTTTTCTGTAAATCTTGAAACTTTCGTTTCTTTTATAAAATTGTAATTGCAGTTTTTAAGCCCTGTATTGCCTGCAGTTAATGTTATTTCAGTCCCCAGGTTCTTCTGTAGGAGTGCAAGTTCCAAAGTGCAGGGCATATAACAACATCCTAGGAAAATGTTCTACTCTGAGGTTTCAGGGGCATATTGTGAAGCATCATGCTGGAGGATACCACCAGAAAAGAAATACAAAGTTTCTGGTGAATGCCACCTCAGGTCACCCTCTCAAATCTGATTCAGAAGCTTATGGTCCCAAAAGCACTTGGAGCTCCATTCAAAATGCCTTAGATGCTTTTTACAGGTTTTCACGGCCTCACACAGTTATAGGCACAGTTAAGTTTTAAGCTTCATAACCTGTAAGATTGGGGGATCTCTCGAACATTCCACCTGTTAGAAATTTTAAATTTAACTTATCTTCGTTATATTTGCAGTACTTTTATTTTCCCATGGAATGAAAGATAAGAAATCTCATCTTATTTTGCACTCTTCAGGCATTGAGCATAGTTTCGGTATCTCTCCTCGCTGTTGAGAAGCTTTCAGATATCTCTTCCCCTTTTTTAACTGGAGTATTAGAGGTGATTAAGCAAATGTCTGAATGACTTGTACTAGCTCATTGGTAAAATTAATTAGTAGAATGCTTAAACATCTATTTTGTTTTTCAGGCTGTGGTTGCTGCCTTGATGATGAACATTTATATTGTTGGTTTAAATCAGATATCTGATATTGAGATAGACAAGGTATGGTGGCAGAATCTGCTTCATTTCATTTTATTAATTTTTTCTCAAGAAGAAATGATTTCTGGAGAATCTGGACTTCCTTTCATACATTGAAAAAGTAACGAGCATTAATTATCAGTTTTGTGTTATACCTGTAGCTAATTCTTAAATAACCACATAAAAACAAGATTTAATCTATAACTCAAGGAAAATGAAACTAATTTTATGAAAAATATCAAAGAAGCCATATAAACTTTGTGACCAAGACAAACATTGTGAGGCTGAGGAAGTGATGAGCACTATAGCTGAATGTGTAACTTATTCCTATTTATTCGTATGTTGTAATATTTCATTTTACATTGGTTTTGCTTTATGTTAATGTTGGAGAGGTTGTGTTGTTTTGTGCTTATTTCAAAAAATTTTAACCGCAGCTATGTTATACCTTTTAATAAGAGCTTTTAGTTACCTTAAACATAATCTTGAACATGATCTTTGGAATTAGTAAGTGCATAAACTTGTCTGACTTGCCTAATTTAGATGTTAAATGCATGTTTCATTACAGGTTAACAAGCCTTATCTTCCTTTGGCGTCAGGAGAATATTCCATGTTAACTGGCATGTTGCTTGTTACATCTTTTTCCGTCATGGTAACCATATTTATTTTTGTTGATTTGGAAGAGATATTCAAACATTTTTACTTTTCTTTTAGTCATAGTTTCTGTATATTGAAATTGAAAGAAGGAAAGTGGGAGGAAATAATCTGCCTTTTGACATTGTTGGTGAATTGAATAAATCCTTTATGGTTATAGTTCTTACCTGTTATGAAATGAAAAAAATTTCATTTGTAGTTTCTGATTAAGTTAAAGAAACAAAAAAAATATAATACAGGATTATCATAGAAATAGAGCACCAGTTATTAAAGATGTGAAGAGAATCAAAGTAGAGATGCTATAATTTTTGGTCTTTACATAAATTAGAGTCGAAAATGTTTTGAATTTTTTATTTGGAAAAAGACTAAAGTAGGGGTGTTGTGCCTGGAGTAGACTTACCAGGCTATTTTTATACTTGCAAAAGGATTCATAAACTACTATATTAGTGAAGTACTTGGCATGAAACACTATTGTTTGGTTTTATATTGGATTAGACGCACTTCATCTCTGTTCTGTTCAGAGCTAATAAGTTTTCTACCAATAGGGTAATTCTTTAACCAGCCTATGGATCAACTTAAATACTGTCATTCAGCTTATCCTGGAAGACTTTGTATTCAGGGGTTTATTATGGTCCAGTTTGCTTGTTGCAACCTGTTGTTTTATCATATACAAATTAGAGCAACCAACCTAATTGTAGTCATCACTTTAGGAACTTTATATAATTTTTTGTTAGTATATGAAATGTCATTGTATTCAGGGGTTTCTATTTCTGTTTTCTGTTTTAAAAAGTTCTCTCTGTTTCCAATTTTTGAAAACAGAAACCTTTTTCTGAATCTTCTGTTATTTTAATACCAGAAACAAGGGGAGTGTGTTTATGTCAGTTTGATATAGATTTTTGGAGGAAGGATAATGTGTGTTTCAAATATGTTTTCCAGAGGAGTTGAAACATGATTTTTTTTTTCCAAAAAAAGAAATTAAAATGTTGTTAAGAATTGTAAGTGATGAGAATGTTATCAAAAAAATGTATTTCTTTTAAAGGAAAAACTGAAAACAAGAAATAGCACATTAAACATAAACAGACACATGCTTAGATTTGTTTCTCCAATATATAAGATCTTTCTTAAACTCCAAAAGAAAAAGGATGGATATGCACTTCTATTATTCTAATGTTCAATCAGTTTGGCTGCCTTCTTACCTGCATAAGTGTCAACTAATTCCTTTCTTCCAGAGTTTTTGGCTTGGATGGGTTGTTGGATCATGGCCATTGTTTTGGGCACTTTTCATAAGTTTTTTGCTTGGAACTGCATATTCAATCAATGTGAGTTGGCTCTAAGGTTTACTTCACAATAATAATTAATTACACATCTTGAGAATTTTTGTTATGGTTTTACTGGATAATATGTTAAGAGGGGGTTTATTGGTTAAGGCATTTGAAACTCTGTTATTTCAGTTGCCGCTCTTGAGATGGAAGAGGTTTGCGTTGGTTGCAGCAATGTGCATCCTAGCTGTTCGAGCAGTGATTGTGCAACTTGCTTTTTATCTTCACATACAGGTCTATTTTTCCCCCTCATTCTTTCCTTACCTTTTTCTCCATTCCCAAGAGAACTATAAAATTTCCCCTCCTCATATTTGCATGAGAAACATGGCTGACAGTTGAATCAGAGAATGAGTGTCCAATGTTGCAAAGTGAACATTTCCAACCGAAGCTTGTCAGCCTGAAAATATTGTACCCAGGAAAAAAAAAGAAGAAAATTTCTGTTATGCATGCCTGCATCATCTGTTGATTTTCTGTACTTAGCATAATACCATGATATGAAGATTTTAAAATCCTACTAGAAAATAGAATTGAGACTAAAAGATAATCCTAATCAAATAAGTAACATCTTTAAGGATTGAGACTGATAGAATGAGATTTTAATCCTAGATCCTACCTTCTATGAAAATTGTATAATATTCTCCATAATAATGTAAGCAATTCCTTCCTAATGCTTAACACTAGTTTTTCTGACATTTCCAGACCCATGTACTCGGAAGACCAACTGTCATTTCAAAGCCCTTAATATTTGCAACTGCATTCATGAGTTTCTTTTCAGTTGTTATAGCATTGTTCAAGGTAATTGATTCTCTTTACTTTAACAAGTAATATAATCTCTCTTTTTTGTTTTCTGCAATAATTCAATTTCTTATAATCTAAAGTGAGAGTGGCTATTCTAAGTTCCCAGTGAATTTTTGAAGGATATACCCGACATTGAGGGAGATAAGATATTTGGAATCAGATCTTATACTGTACGACTGGGTCAAAAGCGGGTTTGTTTTCAACACACTTTAACATTTCAGAAGTTCAGGTCTCCTTCTCAATATTAAGTTCTTCATATCCTTTTGACTCTCTGATTTATCTTTGGCAGGTCTTCTGGACTTGCATTTCGCTTCTCCAAATGGCATATGGTGTTGCAATTTTAGTTGGGGCATCATCTTCCCACACCTGGAGCAAGATGGTCACTGTATGTATTTTAAATAGATCCTTTGAGTAGGCATCCATTGATTTATTTCTTATCAAATTATTCAGCTTCCTCTTGCTTAAAATAGAGAAAATGTAACGTTCACAATATTTAGCTTAAAAACTTAGTCTCGTAGTTTTTTAATTATTCACTGTTTTTGCATTCAATAGGTTCTTGGTCATGTTATCCTGGCTTCAATTTTATGGATCCGTGCCAAATCTGTTGATTTGACAAGCAAAGCTGCAATCACATCTTGTTATATGTTTATTTGGAAGGTAAACAGCTCATTATGCTAATACCTCTAGAAACCTTTAACCCCTATGAGAAAAAGAAAACCAACAAAAATGCTGTCAATTCCACTCTTTGCCCATATGACCTGAATCCCTTTAGTTAATACTGTTTTTAAGAATGCTATTGGTATATGGAACTGGTCATTCATTTCTTCATACTTTTGTCCAAGAATGTTGTTGTGATGGTGAAAGACCTTTAATCAATTGAATAACACCTCACCAAATTGTAGACTCAGGATCACACGTGTATAAAAGAGATTTAGTTTACTGTTTATTGCGCCTGGAGCACCAGAGGATTTCTTGAACCTCACTCACTGCCTGCTCTACCACGTTCAATTGTTCAGTGCCATGTTTTATTCGTTTAGTATGTCACTCATCACTTAATAGAAATATAAGACATAATTTGCCTAATTCTCTGTTGCTCTTAAATTCAATATATTCATGCGTTCACTGGTCATCTGCGATAACTAACTCATTTTCTTCTGCAGCTCTTCTATGCTGAGTACTTTCTCATACCACTTGTAAGGTGAGTACACAACCTTTTCAGGGAGCAACTGTTCGAGTGATTCAAGATAAGGAAAATGTTATGAGACCGTAAATGGCACATATTGCAGCAGCAACGTTGTTAATCACAATGTACCAAAAAATAAAAAAATAAAAACTTTGTTAATCACACTGTTAACCATAAAGCGTTTACTGAGGATCCAAAGAATTATTTCGCAGTTGTGTTAAGAAGATTAAGAGTGAACAAATATTAGTAATGCCCTATGGTTCATTGGCATCTCTCCTCATTACACGGGGGTTGAAGTTGGAAACTTGCAATTAATATGTGATTAGCACAGTCGAACTCCTGTAACATGGTATAAAAAGTGATATTTGTGGTGTAAACAGTTCCCATTTCTCAGAATTAATAATAAGTGATACTGTGTTTGGCTCATTTCCAGTTGCATATTTATTTCATTTTACATATCTAGAACGAAACATGATGTTGCATGTTTCAGAGAGTAATGCATGCAGTAACTTTACAGAGCCATAGCTGATAGCCATGGGTCACTTTTTCTTTCCATTTTCTATCAACGTTTCAAGTTCTGCGGTCATTTTCTTACTCAATAGACAGGAGATGATTCAGAAGACACAAAGTATTATAAATCCAAAATCTTGAAAAAGTTTCAGATGCTGTGGTAATGGTAAGTGAAGTACATGTCCCACTTCCACATTAGTCTTGCTTTGTCCTTATAAAATGGAAGAATATTCGTTTCACATCAATTGCTAAGGAGATATGTGACACAAAGGTAGGTGTGTATTGGATTTCATATGCCTAGTTGTTAATCCAAACAGACCTAATGATGAAACAGGACACACAATTTTATGGGTGAAGATTGAAAAAGGCCCCATTAAGCTGCAGTGAAGAGTACTAAGTAAGCCAAAAGTAGGCAGGAGAAAAGGCAAAGAAAATATGGGTATGTAACAACTATGTGAGGTCCAAATTTAAAGAAAATGAGCATACTTCTAATTAATGTATAAATGCAGTAACATCAAAGCTGAAATCTCCATCTCTGAACTAATCATGCTGCCTTCAGTGGACCATAAAAAAAAACAGTCCCTTCAGTGAGTCAATGTAGACACCTAGTGCAGGTAGCATTAGCAAGTATCAAATTTCAAATCAAAAGAGGAGGTCCAAAAACATAAAAGTGAATAAAGTGCAAAATCCTTCATGTATGGTTACGGAATGGCTAATATTCCCTGATTTTTGCTTTAAATATCAAATAAAGAAGGGGATATATGACAAAGTTCAACAACCAAGATAAGATCACAACACCCATTACCATCTTTTTCTAGGTTTAGTTATTAGCAGGGTAATAACAGGTATTGTGTTTGAATCATTTTCTTTTATGAAATTCATTTAAACCAAATATTACCTAACAAAACAAACGATGCTTTTCTATTTAATGGAATAAGCGTTGATTTTTGCATTATATATAAATTAACCAAATAATCTTATTAGCACTAAACTGTGAAATATTTGAGATATTAATAAGGGAGTAAAGGGCAAGAAGCAATGTCCTGTTAGTAGCTAGTTGGCTTTCCATTGCTGAAGGATGATTGATATCATAATAGAGAAAGAGGAGACTTTGGTGAGATAGACAGCCAACAAAATGCCAGAGCCACTTGGTGAGTGGAACTTCTGTACTTCCCATTATTCTCTAAATTTTTCCTAGTATATATCCAACAGACACATCATTTCCAGTAGAATACTGTTTGGCAGTATAAATTTTTAAGTGGTTAGGAGTCTTATAATCTAAATGAAGTTTGAGACACTTAAATCTTAGATAAAAGATAAATACGCGCATTAAAATAATCGATAAAACACTTTAAGTTATTGAGTGTTTGAGAAGAAATTGTTTAAATTATAAAATTTCTAATAAAAATTAAGAATTGTGCTGATACATACTACCCTCTCTATTTATTTAATAGACAATAGCTGTTTTTTAGTTGTTCTTGGGAAGAGACCATGCTGATTCTCAAGAATCTTTATGATGAGGAAAGGACTAGTAGCTAAGCACACCACCAAAAAAGCATTGGTGGAAACAAAAGGGTGCAATTCAAACCACTTTAAATCCCCCTCGGAAGAAGATATGGTTTCTTTGGTGGCAATCATTCCTTCTCTCTTTTATTCAATTTCATCTACATGGTGGAAAGAAAGAAAGGCCTTTCATTGAGCTGGCCTTTGAGTCTAAAAAGTTTCGTTACCAAGTTTTATTGTTTGGGTTTAATTAATTGAAAATTCTATCTTTATTAATTATTTAAATAATATTTCACGTTTTTAATGATCTCATAGAAAAAAAAAAAAAGAAAAAGGAAAAAAAGAAAGGTTTTACATTTTGTTTTAATTAATACAATAGACTCCTGAGTTTTTGCTTTGAGGAGCCACATCCTATAAAATATAAATGGATGGGGATCATGGGGCCATTGGAACATGTCATGGATGGCTGAATCTGCTGCTGAAATTAATTGTCCACAGAACAGTTAAAAAGTAATCTTATATGGTGGAAATCTGGTGCTCCAACATTACAATACAACACACCATTCGCGCATCCTTTGCCTCTAAAATAAGGAGTAAACCCCACTTCTATATTTGATGCCTAACTTTTGGTAGATCATGCCTATAAATCCTAGAGATTTTTGGCTTAACTTAACGCTTTTGTAGATATGTTAATTTCGAGTAGAATCCTGCAAGGTCAACAATTATTATCTCATGCTTTTATTATTAATCCTTATTCCTAGGATTGATTACATGTCATTTTCAAGAACTTTATAACATAACCGGTGATACTAGGTGTAACCATGAGTATATGCAATAGCACATAATAATAATGCCATTGCCTAATGCATTCATTTTGGAGGTCAATTGATGCAGAATCCTAGACCCACATTGTCTTAAGATACAATGTTGAAAAAATAATGGGCCCAAACATGATCTTATTAACTGGGGAAAGGTTGATCCTTGTGGGCAATTTCTAACAGCTTCTTCTGTCATGTCATTTCATGTCGTGCCCTTGTTAAACAAAGATCATCTCCATTAATTGGCTCTCTTTGCTCTTTTTGATCTGGCACCGACCTGGATTTTTTTTTTTTTCTAACTGAATGTGAAATTAAAAAATATTGTGCAGTTTTTATTGAATAGATAGAGTCTCTTTGAAAGTTATTTTTATTTAATAATTTTTATTTTATAATTTAATACAATTTGAATTATAAAATAAACATATTATAAAAAATATTTGGATTTTTTTTTTATTTTAAATATTTTGATATGAAACGAATTCGAAACTCATTAAGGGAAGGAGAGAGCGCAGTGCACTTATTCAATGACTAATGCCATTAAGGACAGGTGCAAATATTTGGATTCTTAAATATGAATTCAAAATGTGAATCAAATGTGTAAATTGTGTGTATATCATTTTTATTTAATTTTAAAGAAAAAAACAAAATACTTTTATTTTATAATTTATTATTAAATATATTAACAACTTTTTTATCTTTTTTTTTT